GTTGAAAAATTTCGGGGACAAAAAATTGAAAAAGGGAAAAATTAAAAATCGAGAATGTGAAAACTGGGAAAATGAGAAATTGTAATATTGAAAAATTGGAAGTCGACAAACTGTAAAATTGAAAAATCAAAAATAAAAAAACGAAAAAGTATAAGTACAATAAAAACTTGAAAATTTGAAGAAAAATTGAAAAAAACCTAAAAATTTGAAAAATTGAATAAACGAAAATTGTAAAATCGGAAGAAACAACAAAAAATAACGAAAATGAAAAAACGGACAATTGTGATATAAATCGAGAAAATAAAAGTTAAAATTCGCGACATTGAAAAATAAAAATCGGGAACATGAAAAATTGTGGAAACGAAAAATTGAGAAACTGAAAATTCGAAAAATTGAAGAAACGAACAATTGAAAAAATGAAAATTTGTGACATAAAACCGAGAAAATGAAAATTAAAAAAAATTTAGGAAACGAAAAATTGAAAATGACAAAAATTAAAAACTGAGAATGTGAAAAATCAAAAAATGACAAACTGTAATATTGAAAAATTGCAAAATTAAAAAATTGCAACTCCAAAAATTGAAAAATGCAGAAGTCAAGAAACTGTAAAATTAAAAAATCAAAAATAAAAAAACAAAAAAGTATATAATGAAAACTTGAAAATTGTCAAAAGTGTAAATCAAACATGAAAATTTTAAGAAACTGCAAACCTAAAGAATCGAAAAATTGAAAAATCTGGAGCCTGAAAATTTGAAAAATTGAACTGAAAAACTGAAAAATCAAAAAATAGATTAATTGAGAAATCGGAAAACTGAAAATTCAGAAACGTCAAAACTTGAAAATTTAGAAAATTGGAAAATTGAAAAATCGGATAATTCAAAAACCGAAAAACCGAAAAATAAGAAAACGAAAAACCGATAAATCGAAAAATCGAAACACCGAAAAATTCAAAAACTGAGACAATCAAAACATCGAAACATCCGAATCTCGATAAATCGAATTCTCAAAAAATTGAAAAATAGAAAAAAAATCCGGAAAAAAGAAAAATTAAAATATACAAGAACTGAAAACTCGAAAAATTCAGAAATCGAAATATATATAAAACAGTCGAAAATTGAAAAATCTAAAGTTTAAAAAACGAAAAACTGAAAATCCAAAAAATAAAAAATCGAAAAGTCGAAAAATAGAAATACTGAAAAATCCCAAAACTGAAACAAATATCCAAAATTGAGAAATTAAAAAATTAGCCAACCGAAAAATTCAAAAATCGAAGAATTGAAGAACTGAAAAATTGAAACTGCGAATTCGAGAAACGGGAAAATAAAAAAAAAATTAATTGAAAAATTGGAAAACTGAAAATTTGGCAACGTCAAAATTTGAAAAATTGGAAAATAGAAATACTGAAGAACTGGAAAATCAAAAAATCCAGAAATCGCAAAATCTAAAATTAAAAACGTTGAAATATCGCAAAATTGAAAAATGGAGAAATCCAAACATCAAAGAATCAAAAAAGAAAAATTCGGAAATCTAAAACTTAAAAATCGAAAAACTGAAAAATCGACAAATCGAAACACCAGTAATTTCAAAAAATTGGAAAATCGGATAACTGAAAAATCGAAACTTCGAAAAATTGGAAAATCGAAAAACCGAGAAAATGAAAATTAAAAAAAATTTAGGAAACGAAAACTTGAAAATGACAAAAATTAAAAACTGAGAATGTGAAAAATCAAAAAATGACAAACTGTAATATTGAAAAATTGCAAAATTAAAAAATTGCAACTCCAAAAATTGAAAAATGCAGAAGTCAAGAAACTGCAAAATTAAAAAATCAAAAATAAAAAAACGAAAAAGTATATAATGAAAACTTGAAAATGTCAAAAGTGTAAATCAAACATGAAAATTTGAAGAAACTGCAAACCTAAAGAATCGAAAAATTGAAAAATCTGGAGCCTGAAAAATTGAAAAATTGAACTGAAAAACTGAAAAATCGAAACCTTGGCAAGCCGAAAATGGGCAAATCAAAAAATAGATTAATTGAGAAATCGGAAAACTGAAAATTCAGAAACGTCAAAACTCGAAAATTTAGAAAATTGGAAATTTGAAAAATCGGATAATTCAAAAATCGAAAAGCCGAAAAATAAGAAAACGAAAAACCGATAAATCGAAAAATCGAAACATCGAAAAATTCAAAAACTGAGACAATCAAAACATCGAAACATCCGAATCTCGATAAATCGAATTCTCAAAAAATTGAAAAATAGAAACAAAATCCGGAAAGAAGAAAAATTAAAATATACAAGAACTGAAAACTCGAAAAATTCAGAAATCGAAATATATACGTATAAAACAGTCGAAAATTGAAAAATCTAAAGTTTAAAAAACGAAAAACTGAAAATCCAAAAAATTAAAAATCGAAAAGTCGAAAAATAGAAATCTTGAAAAATTCCAAAACTGAAACAATTATCCAAAATTGGGAAATTAAAAAATCAGCCAACCGAAAAATTCAAAAATCGAATTGAAGAACTGAAAAATCGAAACTGCGAATTCGAGAAACGGGAAAATAAAAAAAAATTAATTGAAAAATTGGAAAACTGAAAATTTGGCAACGTCAAAATGTGAAAAATTGGAAAATAGAAATACTGAAAAATCGGAAAATCAAAAAATACAGAAATTGCAAAATTTAAAATTAAAAACATTGAAATATCGCAAAATTGAAAAATGGAGAAATCCAAACATCAAAGAATCAAAAAAGAAAAATTCGAAAATTTAAAACTTAAAAATCGAAAAACTGAAATATCGACAAATCGAAACACCAATAATTTAAAAAAATTGGAAAATCGGATAACTGAAAAATCGAAACATCGAAAAATTGGAAAATCGAAAAACCGAGAAATCCAAAAATCGATAAATCGAGAAATAAAAAAAATTGAAGAATTTTAAAAAAGAAAAATTAAAACATCGAAAATTTGAAAAATCTAAAGTTTCATGAAAAATTGAAAATCCAGAAAGTATAAAAGGGGTGGAAACCCAAAAACTGCAAACTGAAAAATTTTAAAATTGAAAAATCGACGAATTGGAATCGATTGGCCTGAAAATTTGAATAAACGGAAAATTGGAAAATCGAAAGATACAACAAAAATTAAGAACATGAAAAAACAAAAAATTTTGATATAAAATCGAGAAAATGAAAAATAAAAAATTAGGAAAATGCAATCGGGGAGTTGAAAAATTTCGGGGACAAAAAATTGAAAAAGGGAAAAATTAAAAATCGAGAATGTGAAAAATGGGAAAATGAGAAATTGTAATATTGAAAAATTGGAAGTCGACAAACTGTAAAATTGAAAAATCAAAAATAAAAAAACGAAAAAGTGTAAGTATAATAAAAACTTGAAATTTTGAAGAAGAATTGAAAAAACCTGAAAATTTGAAAAATTGAACAAACGAAAAATTGTAAAATCGAAAGAAACAACAAAAGATAACGGAAATGAAAAAACGGACAATTGTGATATAAATCGAGAAAATAAAAGTTAAAAATTCGCGACATTGAAAAATAAAAATCGGGAACAAGAAAAATTGTGGAAACGAAAATTGAGAAACTGAAAATTCGAAAAATTGAAGAAACGAACAATTGAAAAATCGGAAGAAACAACAAAAAATAAAGGAATTGAAAAAATGAAAATTTGTGACATAAAACCGAGAAAATGAAAATTAAAAAAATCGGGAAAATGAAAATTAAAAATCGAGAATTTGAAAAATTTAGGAAACGAAAAATTGAAAATGACAAAAATTAAAAACAGAGAATGTGAAAAATCAAAAAATGAGAAACTGTAATATTGAAAAATTGCAAAATTAAAACATTGCAACTCCAAAAATTGAAAAATGCAGAAGTCAAGAAACTGTAAAATTAAAAAATCAAAAATAAAAAAAACGAAAAAGTATATAATGAAAACTTGAAAAATGTCAAAAGTAAAAATCAAACATGAAAATTTGAAGAAACGAAAATTTGAAAAATCGAAAGATTAAAATTTGAAAAATTTAAAATTCGAAAAAGTGAAAAATGAAAAATGTATTGTAAAATCAAAGCCTGAAAATTTGAAAAATTGAATAAATAAAGAATTGTAAATCGAAAGAAACAACAAAAAAATAAAGGAAATAAAGAAACCGAAAATTGTGATATAAAATCGAGAAACGTCGATAAAACATAAAATTAGTCATTCGCCAGACTGCGTTAGCAGCAAAAAAATCTCCAAATCGAATCTTACAATATAATTCAACAATTTACATACAGTACCAAAAATAAAACACCGATAGCTTTCGAATAATTTTGAATGTGTTGTGCTAATTTTTTTTTAATTCCACCAGATTTAAACTCTAAATTTTGTAAATGAAAATTCAATGTTCGAATAGCTGGAAATGGTTTCTTATTAAGTTATATCCACTGGTCCCACATCCAAATTTAAGCTTCAAAAATTTAGTGATTGTTTGCTCTGGACATTTTTTGATTTTTTCCCTTTTAGATCCTCAATTTGATCCTTTGTTAATATATTTGCCAAATTTTTCCTTAAATTTGCATCACACACTGTTTGCAAGTATAATTTCTGGCTTAATTTTTTGTTGCTAATTTTTAACATTCTACGTAACTTTTTTTCTTAACATATCATTTTCTTTCTGTAGCGTTATATAATCAGGTGGTTGTTTGCACTTTAGCGGTTTAGACGAAACAAATTCAGGCCAGAGAGGTTGAGAAGAAAGAGAATTATTTGAGAGGGGAGATTCAAACTGAAAAGATTCACTGGAGAGCTTACTATTTGAATTATTACTCTCCGTTGCACAGGGAAAAATTGAAGGAAAAGCGTTTTTCTTTAATTTTTGGCCATATATTTCCCATTGATCTTCATAGTTGGCCGCAAACTCGTCGTAATATTCTGTACTTCCGAAAAATGTCAACAGCAAGAACAGAATTACTTCCATTGTTGATGGTAAATGTTCTGGGTTTATAGAACGAAACACGCTACCAATGGAACGAAAACGAAGTGGGCTTCATCCTCACGGCCTACTTCTACGGCTACATCGTCACAGTGATGCCCGGAGGAATCCTCTCCGAAATGCTCGGTCCATTCCACGTCATACTCTGGACTAGCCTCGGTTCCGCAATCCTCACAGCTTTCACCCCCCTGTGTGCCGAACTAGGGGTCTATGGAGTAGTCGCCAACAGATTTGTCGTGGGTTTGCTGGGAGTAAGTGATTCTTCCATCCAATATCGACCCAACTTTTGTCAACCCACATTGTACAGGGTGTTGCTTATCCCGCCGTCAACGTACTCATAGCAAAGTGGGCACCTCCCAAAGAAAAAGGCAAATTCCTGGCAGCCATGATGGGTAACACTATGGGAACGTTGGTGTCCTTCAATATGGTAGGATGGGCTACGGCGCTGTGGGGTTGGGCTTGGGGGTTCTACGTCTTGGTGTTTGTAATGCTTCTGTTTTGTGTGGCTTTTGCGGTACTGGTGAGGGATACTCCAGAGAAGCATCCCTGGATTTCTAAACGGGAGAAGGCTTATATTATAGTGTCACAGGAGGGGCACGTTTCATCCAAAAAGGTGACGGTAGTTAAAATTTTTGACAAGGTAGCTAAATAACATTTTTAGAAAGTACCTCCCTATAGGAAAATTTTCACAAGTATCCCCTTCTGGGTCGTCACTATCGCCCAATTCGGCAACCTGTGGGGTCTCAACCTCATCCTCTCCTACGGCCCGAAATACCTAGCCGAGACTTTAGGCTTCAACCTGAAAGCGTCTGCCGGCCTAGCCGCCCTTCCCTACATCGCCAGACTATTAGCCAGCCAGGTCTTCGGAATCGTGGGCGACCACATGAGGAAAAAAGGAACGATGAGCTTAACCAAAATCCGAAAGTTCTTCATAATCTTTTGTAAATATGTGAAAGGTGGTGAGTTTTCATCGAATCGCCCTTTGCAGCACATTTCGTACCGGCGGCTTGCATGTTCCTGATTAGAGCGGCTGGGTGCCACCATGTCGGCGTGTTGGTACTACTGATCCTTAATCAGGCTTTCAATGGCGCGGTGGTGGTCAGCCAACTGATTAACCCGCAGGATCTGGCGCCGAACTTTTCTGGAACGGTTTTCGGGATGATGAACTTTTTCGGGATGATGACGGGGATCTTCGTGCCGACGATCACGGGAGCTTTGAATGAACACTATGTAATGATTTTGTATCTTCTTTGAGCTTTTTGCAGTTTGAATGGTGATGTTGTTTTCAGGACATGGGGTTGATGGCGGCTACTATTATCTACATGATAGGAGGTATCGTGCTCAGTATTTGTGGGCTAGTATTTTTCTTCTTTGGGACTGCTGAAGTGCAGCCTTGGAATGAAATTGAGGAGGATGCGGAGAAGGAAGACGATATTGAGAAAGAGGATAATGAGAAGGCAGAGTAATTTCTGATCTGATTGTTATTGCTCTCGTTGCAGCTCAACATGTAAATTAGTATGCAGTGTTTAAAAACTGTTCAGGGTTTTTAGTTTTATTAGTTACTATATTAGTAATTTCTCAGTTTTATACAGTGCGCAATCGTTGTCCCAGTGTACTTGAGCTTTAGTGGAATCTACTATAAAACTGTACGCACAAAAAATTTAAAAAATAAAACGTGTGTCGGAGTTTTTAGTGATTTTTGTAACGTTTTTATTTCTACAGATATTAGTTATAGTCCATCGAAAGCATGGCCAACTAAAATCAGGCTGAGTTCCCTACCAAAATTTGTTGCAGCAGAAAGAAGACGAAATTTGTTGTTTAAAGAAAAAATTAACAGTTTGAATTTAAAAAAATCAAAAATTAATGACAAACTGCTATGATTCGAACATCATTTCTTGCTGTTTCAACTTTCGAATTCTCAGTCTTTCGAAATTTTAGTTTGGAGATTTTTCAGAGTATTTATTATTCAATTTTTGGATTTTAAATTTCTCAATTTTTTAGTTTCTCGATTTTCAATTTTTCTCCTCTTCAATTTTACGATTTTTTAATTTTTGACTTTTACAAATTCTTCATTTGTCGATTTTTCAAATAATTGATTTTTCAGGTTTTATTGGTTTTTCAATTTTTCAATTTTTTGAGGTTTCGATTTTTTAACTTCACTTTTTTGATTGTTCGATTTCCCAATTTAACCATTTTTTTATTTCTCAGTTTTTGGACATTTCAGTTTAGGGATTTTTCAGTTTTTCTTTCATTTTTCAATTTTTCGAAATTTCAATTTTGGTATTTTCCAGTTTATTTATTGTTCAATTTTTCGATTTTACGATTTTGCAGGTTTTTGATTTTTCATTTTTTCGACTTTTTTAAGGTTTGAATATTTCGACTTCACTTTTTTGATTTCTCCATTTCTCATTTTTTCGAGTTTCAATTTTTGGATATTCCAGTTTTTCCATTTTTCAGTTTTTCTTTCAGTTTTCAGTTTTGGGATTGTTTAATATTCCGATTCTTCGACTTTTCCATTTTTGACTTCTGGATTTTTCGATGGGTCGATTTTTTACTTTTTCAAGTTTTCGATTTTTAAATTTGATATTTCTCAATTTTTTGATATTTTAATTTTTCAATATTTAAAATTTTTGATTTTTTCAATTTCTTGATTGTTCATTTCAGTTTTTCCATATTTCAATTTTTCAAGTTTTCGAATTTTTCAAATGTTTTGATTTCTTAATCTTTCGATTTTTCGGCTTCCCGGTTCTAGATTTTGTTTTTCAATTGTCGTTTTTTCAAATTTTCGATTTTTCAATTTTTTAAATTTAACTACTTATTATACACTCTCAATTTTTCGATTTTTCAATTAATCGATGCTTTGATTTTCCCATTTTTTGACTCTCGAGGCTTTCGATCCTGTTCTTCAATTCTTTAATTTTTCGATTTTTCAGATTTTTGATTTTTCATTTCAGTTCTTCGATATTTCGATCTTTTTATTTTTCGATTTTTCAATGTTTTGATTTCCCGATTTAATTTCCCATTTTTCAGTTTTTCTTTCATTTTTCAGTGTTTCGATATTTCAGTCTGGGATTTTTCAATGTCTCGATCCTTCGCCTTTTCGATTTTTGACTCCTGGATTTTTCGGTGTGTCGATTGTTTTAGTTTTTTGATTTTTCAATTTTTCGATTTTTAAATTTTAGATTTTTCAATTTTTAAAATTTTACATTTTTCAATTTCTTGATTTTTCATATCAGTTCTTTTCAAGTTTTCGAATTTTTCAAATGTTTCGATTTCTTAAATCTTTTGATTTTTCGACTTCCCGATTTTAGATTTTCTGTTTTCAATTGTCGTTTCTTTCAAATTTTCGATTTTTTAATTTTTCTTGATTTTTCAGGTTTTTTGGTTTTTCAATTTTTCAATTTTTTCAGGTTTCGATTTTTCAACTTCACTTTTTTTATTTTTCGATTTCTCAATTTAACCATTTTTTTAATTTCTCAGTTTTTGGACATTTCACTTTAAGTGTTTTTCAGTTTTTCTTCCATTTTTCAATTTTTCGGTTTTACGATTTTGCAGGTTATTGATTTTTCAATTTTTCAAATCTGACCATTATAAACTATCAATTTTTCGATTTTTCAATTAATCGATGTTTTGATTTTCCCATTTCTTTACTTTCGAGGGTTTCGATTTCTGTTCTTCAATTCTTTACTTTTTTGATTTTTCATTTTTGCGATTTTTCGACTTCACTTTTTTGATTTTTCGATTTCTCAATTTTTCGACTTTTTAAATTATCAATTATTGGATATTTCAGTGTTTTTCCATTTTTCAGTTTTTCGTTCATTTTTCTGTTTTGAGAGTTTTTATTATTTCGATTCTTCGACCTTTCGATTTTTGACTTCTGGATTTTTCAATTTTTCGATTTTTAAATTTTTGATTTTTCAATTTTTTGATATTTTCATTTTTCAATATTTAAAATTTTGTTTCAATTCTTCAATATTTCACTTTTTCAAAAGTTTCTATTTCTTAATCTTTTGATTTTTCGACTTCCCGGTTTTAGATTTCCTGTTTTCAATTGTCGTTTCTTTAAATTTTCGATTTTTTAATTTATCTTTTTTTAAATTTTTCGAATTTTCAATGTTTTGATTTTCTGATTCAGTTTCCCACTTTTCAGTTTTTGTTCCATTTTTCAGTTTTTCGATATTTTAGTCTGGGATTTTTCAACGTCTCGATTCTTCGACTTTTCGATTTTTGACTTCCGGATTTTTCGGTGTTTGGTTTTTTTCTTTTTCGATTTTAAAATTTTCCGATTTTTAAATTTTAGATTGTTCAATTTTTAAAAATTTAGATTTTTCGATTGCTCGATTTTTCATTTCAGTTCTTCGATATTTCAATTTTTCAAGTTTTCGAATTTTTGAAATGTTTTGATTTCTTAATCTTCCGATTTTTCGACTTCCCGGTTTTAGGTTTTGTTTTTCAATCATTGTCGTTTTTTCAAATTTTCGATTTTTCAATTTTTCAAATTTGACTATTATAAACTCTCAATTTTTCAATTTTTCAATTAATGGATGTTTTGATTTTCCCATTTTTTGACTTTCGAGGCTTTCGATGTTCCTGTTCTTCAACTCTTTAATTTTTCGATTTTTCAGTTTTTTGATTTTTCATTTTTGCGATTTTTCGACTTCACTTTTTTGATTTTTCGATTGCTCAGTATTTCGACTTTTTAAATTATCAATTTTTGGATATTTCAGTGTTTTTCCATTTTTCAGTTTTGGGATATTTTAATATCTCGATTCTTCAACTTTTCGATTTTTGACTCCTGGATTTTTCGATGTGTCGATTTTTTTATTTTTTAGATTTTTCAATTTTTCGATTTTTCAATTTTTTGATATTTTCATTTTTCAATATTTAAAATTTTGTTTCAATTCTTCAATATTTCACTTTTTCAAGTTTTCGTATTTTTCAAAAGTTTCTATTTCTTAATCTTTTGATTTTTCGACTTCCCGGTTTTAGATTTCCTGTTTTTCAATTGTCGTTTCTTTAAATTTTCGATTTTTTAATTTATCTTTTTTTAAATTTTTCGATTTTTCAATGTTTTGATTTCCCGATTCAGTTTCCCACTTTTCAGTTTTTGTTCCATTTTTCAGTTTTTCGATATTTTAGTCTGGGATTTTTCAACGTCTCGATTCTTCGACTTTTCGATTTTTGACTCTCGGAGTTTTCGGTGTGTCGATTTTTTTACTTTTTCGATTTTTAAATTTTCCAATTTTTAAATTTTAGATTTTTCAATTTTTAAAATTTTAGATTTTTGGATTGCTCGATTTTTCATTTCAGTTCTTCGATATTTCAATTTTTCAAGTTTTCGAATTTTTGAAATGTTTTGATTTCTTAATCTTCCGATTTTTCGACTTCCCGGTTTTAGGTTTTGTTTTTCAATTGTCGTTTTTTCAAATTTTCGATTTTTCAATTTTTCAAATTTGACTATTATAAACTCTCAATTTTTCAATTTTTCAATTAATGGATGTTTTGATTTTCCCATTTTTTGACTTTCGAGGCTTTCGATGTTCCTGTTCTTCAACTCTTTAATTTTTCGATTTTTCAGTTTATTGATTTTTCATTTTTGCGATTTTTCGACTTCACTTTTTTGATTTTTCGATTTCTCAGTTTTTCGACTTTTTGGATTCTCAGTTTTTAGATATTTCAGTTTTGTGATTTTTCGATATTTCTATTTTTCAACTTTTCTATTTTTGATTACTGGATTTTTCGATGTGTCGATTTTTTACTTTTTCAAGTTTTCGATTTTTAAATTTTAGATTTCTCAATTTTTGGTATTTTAATTTTTCGATATTTAAAATTTTAGATTTTTCAATTTCTCGATTTTTCATTTCAGTTCGATATTTCAATTTTTCAAGTTTTTAAAATTATTTTACATTTTTCGATTTTTCAATTTTTGGCTTTCCTAAGTTTTCTATTTTCCGATTTCTCATTTTTTTCTGTTTCAGTTTTAAGATTTTTCAATTTTTCGGTTTTTTGATTTACCGGTTTGCCACTGTTTCGATATTTCGGTTTTAGAAATTTTCAATATTTCAATTTTTTAAATTTTAGATTTTTCGATTTTAAATTTTTTAATTTTTCGTTTTTAGCGTTCATAAGTTTTTTATTTTTGAATTTCTTGATTTCAAGATTAATCGACTTTTCGATTTGTTGAATTTGTGACCTTTCGTTTCATAGATTTTTGATTTTCCTATTTCTCGGTGTCTTGACTTTTCCATGTTCGATTTCTCAATTTTCCGATTGTTCAATTTTTCAATTTTTCAATTTGTCTCTTTATAATTTTTTTTTTTATTTTTCAATTATTATTCGATTGTTAAAATTTTTGATTTTTCCAGTTTTCAATTTTTTATGTTTAGATTTTTCGATTTTTTAGTTCCTCGATTTTTCTATGTATCTTTCAATTTTTCCAGTTTTTAATTTCTCAATTTCCCGATTTTTCATTTCAGTTCTTCGATGTTTCGATTTTTCAAGTTTTCGGATTTTTCAAATGTTTTGACCTCTTAATCTTCCGATTTTTCGACTTCCCGGTTTTAGATTTTTCAGGTTTTTTATTTTTCATTTTTTCGATTTTTCGACTTTAATTTTTTGATTTTTCGATTTCTGAATTTTAAATTATCATTTTTTGGATATTTCAGTTTTTCCATTTTTCAGTTTTTCTTTCATTTTACAGTTTGGGATTTTCTATTATTTCGATTCTTCGACTTTCCCATTTTTGACTTCTGGATTTTTCGATGTGTCGATTTTTTACTTTTTCAAGTTTTAGATTTTTAAATTTTAGATTTCTCAATTTTTGGTATTTTAATTTTTCAATATTTAATATTTTAGATTTTTCAATTTCTCGATTTTTCATTTTAGTTTTTCCATATTTCAGCTTTTCAAGTTTTCGAATTTTCCAAATGTTTTGATTTCTTAATCTTCCGATTTTTCGACTTCTTGACTTTCGAGGCTTTCCATTTTCCAAAGAATTGAACTTTAAATTTTCGATTTTTCAGCTTTTTAATTTTTCATTTTTTCGATTTTTCGAGTTTACTTTTTTGATTTTTCGATTTCTCAATTTTTCGACTTTTTAGATTCTCAATTTTTGTTTCAATTTCCGGATTTTTCAGTTTTTCTTTTATTTTTCAGTTTTGGGATTTTTTAATATTTCGATTTTTCGACTGTTCGATTTTTGACTTCTGGATTTTTCTGTTTTTTTTTATTTTTTAGATGTTTCAATTTCTCGATTTTTAAATTTTATAGATTTTTCAATTTTTAAAATTTTAGATTTTTCGATTTCTCGATTTTTATTTCATTTCTTCCACATTTCAATTTTTCAAGTTTTCGAATTTTTCAAATGTTTCGATTTCTTAATCTTTTGATTTTTCGACTTCCCGGTTTTAGATTTTCTGTTTTCAATTGTCGTTTCTTTCAAATTTTTGTTTTTTTTTAATTTTTCGATTTATCAATGTTTTGATTTCCCGATTTAGTTTCCCACTTTTCAGTTTTTCTTTCGTTTTTCAATTTTTCGTTATTTCAGTCTGGGATTTTTCAATGTCTCGATTCTTCGACTTTTCGATTTTTGACACCTGGAGTTTTCGGTGTGTCGATTTTTTTACTTTTTCGAATTTTAAATTTTAGATTTTTCATTTCAGTTCTTTCATATTTCAATTTTTCAAGTTTTCGAATTTTTCAAATGTTTCGATTTCTTAATCTTTTGATTTTTCGACTTCCCAGTTTTAGATTTTCTGTTTTCAATTGTCGTTTCTTTCAAATTTTTAATTTTTAATTTTTTTTTTAATTTTTCGATTTATCAATGTTTTGATTTCCCGATTTAGTTTCCCACTTTTCAGTTTTTCTTTCGTTTTTCAGTTTTTCGATATTTCAGTCTGGGATTTTTCAATGTCTCGATTCTTCGACTTTTCGATTTTTGACTCCTGGATTTTTCGGTGTGTTGATTTTTTTATTTTTTCGAATTTTAAATTTTAGATTTTTCATTTCAGTTCATCGATATTTCAATTTTTCAACTTTTCGAATTTTTCAAATGTTTCGATTTTTTAATCTTTTGATTTTTCGACTTCCCGGTTTTAGATTTTCTGTTTTCAATTGTCGTTTCTTTCAAATTTTCGATTTTTCAATTTTTCAAATTTGACTTTTATGAACTCTCAATTTTTCGATTTTTCAATTAATCGATGTTTTGATGTTTTCGATTTTTCAGTTTTTCGATTCATTGAATTTTCAATCTATTTTAATGCCGAAGTTGTTTTATTTTTGGCAAATAAACAATTAATTATTATTATTTATTTATCTTCCTTCATATTTTTTTTTAGGAAAAATAGGCGCTCGCCAGTCACTTGACTTTCTATATGGAAACTCTACTTTTGACATGTGACGTTTTCCTTTGACAGTATTGTTTGTGTTATCTCCTCTCCAAAATCAATGAGTAAAACGTACCTCCTTTTGACAACCTACCCTAATACCCAACCACCCCGTAGAAGCACCCCCTTTTCGAGTATGGATCGGCGTGATGATCTTCTTCACCACATTTACCAACTACATGCTCCGATCCAACATTTCGGTGAGCGTCGTGGCAATGGTCGGCACTCGTAAATCGGGTTTCGTCCCTCCTTGTAAACGAGACCAAATGAAGAATACAACCGAAAACAAAACCTCGGCGGGAGTAAGACACCATTTTATATTTTCCTGGTGTTTATTTCCGTCACTCAGGGAAAAGAACGCACCTTTGACTGGAACGAAGACCGCATAGGGTGGATCCTCACGGGTTACTTCTGGGGCTACATGGTAACTCTAGTTCCTGCAGGCTTACTGTCCGAGTTGATAGGACCGTGGCACGTCATCCTGTGGAGCAGTCTAGCCTCTGGTGTCCTCACCGGCCTCACCCCTCTATTCGCAGAAGGGGGCTACATCGGCGTGGTCATAAGTCGTGTCTTCATAGGCATGCTGGGAGTGCGTCCGTCTGCCCATTGTGTCTTTTTTAAATTTTTCGTGTTCCAGGGTCTGGCTTATCCGGCTGCCCACGTTTTGATCGCAAAATGGGCACCCCCCCACGAAAAAGGTAAATTTGTGGCAGCCATGTTAGGCAACACTATCGGAACGATGGTGACCTTCAATCTGGTGGGCTGGGTGAGCGATGCGTGGGGATGGCAATGGGGTTTCTACGTTCTGGTCATCCTCATGGCCGCTTTCTGTCTGGGCTTCTTCTTCGTTGTAGCAGATACTCCGGAGAAGTCCAGATGCACGTCGCAGGAAGAACGTGACTACATTCAGGAGTCGCATCATGGCAGCGTGTCGAAGAAAAAGGTAGGCCGCGCATTCAACAAGGTTGAAAATCGCCGATCTTACTTAAAAACGTTGCAGGCAGTAGCCCCGTTTCATTTTTAAATTTTTTTTAGTTTCAGTTTTTCGGTTTATAGTTTTTGAATTTTTCAGTTTTTCGATTTTCAATTTTTCAGTTTGTCGGTTTTTCTATACTTCGACTTTTCGGCTTTTCAGTTATTCAATTTTTCGATTTTTCAATTTTCCTATATTTGGGTTTTATGATTTTTCAATTTTTTTGTTCTTCATTTTATCGAATTTTAATTTTTTTAATTTTTGGCGTTTCTAAGTTTTCGATTTCTCTGTTTTTCGATTAACCAAATTTTCGGTTTCTAGACTTTTCGATCCATCAATTTTTTCGATGTTCCATTTTTCGAATTTTCGATTTCTCAATTTTTTCAATGTTCCAGTTATGGAATTTTTCAGTTTTTCTACTAGGTTTCTCAAATTTCCGATATTTTAGCTTTTTCAATTCTTAAATTATAGATTTTTTGATTTCCGGACTTTTATGTTTTTCGATTTTTTTATGTCAATTTTTTCGAATTATAAATTTTAATTTTTCCATTTTTTGATGTTTCGATTTCTCGATCTTTCGTATTTGGCCTTCTCAGTTTTACACTTTTCAGTTTTTTGATTTTTAAAATTTTTTGTAGTTCAGTTTGCAATTTTTTAATTTTTGGATTTTTCAGTTTTTCTAATTTTTCGATTTTTCGATATTTAAAATTTTTGATTTTTCGGTTTTTACTTTTTCAATTTTTCAGTTTGTCGGTTTTTCTATGTTCGACTTTTCGGCTTTTCAGTTATTCAATTTTTCGATTTTTCAATTTTCCGATATTTGAGTTTTATGATTTTTCATTTTTTTTGTTCTTCATTTTATCGAATTTTAAATTTTTCAATTTTTGGCGTTTCTAAGTTTTCGAGTTCTCTGCTTCTCGATTAACCAAATTTTCGGTTTCTAGACTTTTCGATCCATCAATTTTTTCGATGTTCCATTTTTCGAATTTTTGATTTCTCAATTTTTTCAATGTTCCAGTTATGGAATTTTTCAGTTTATCTACTAGGTTTCTCAAATTTCCGATATTTTAGCTTTTTCAATTCTTAAATTCTAGATTTTTTGATTTCCGGACTTTTATGTTTTTCGATTTTTTTTATGTCAATTTTTTCGAATTATACATTTTAATTTTTCCATTTTTTGATGTTTCGATTTCTCGATCTTTCGTTTTTGGCCTTATCAGTTTTACACTTTTCAGTTTATTGATTTTTAAAATTTTTGGTAGTTCAGTTTGCAATTTTTTAATTTTTGGATTTTTCAGTTTTTCTAATTTTTAATTTTGAGGCTATTCGAATGTTCAATTTCTCATTTTTCCGATATTTCAGTTTTGCGATTTTTCAATGTTTTGATTCTTCAATTTTTCGATTTATCAATTTTTGGCGTTCCAAAGTTTTCGGTTTTCCAATTTTTAGATTTTTCGATATTTAAAATTTTTGATTTTTCGGTTTTTACTTTTTCAATTTTTCAGTTTGTCGGTTTTTCTATGTTCGACTTTTCGGCTTTGCAGTTATTCAATTTTTCGATTTTTCAATTTTCCGATATTTGAGTTTTATGATTTTTCATTTTTTTTGTTCTTCATTTTATCGAATTTTAAATTTTTCAATTTTTGGCGTTTCTAAGTTTTCGAGTTCTCTGCTTCTCGATTAACCAAATTTTCGGTTTCTAGACTTTTCGATCCATCAATTTTTTCGATGTTCCATTTTTCGAATTTTCGATTTCTCAATTTTTTCAATGTTCCAGTTATGGAAATTTTCAGTTTATCTACTAGGTTTCTCAAATTTCCGATATTTTAGCTTTTTCAATTCTTAAATTCTAGATTTTTTGATTTCCGGACTTTTATGTTTTTCGATTTTTTTTGTCAATTTTTTCGAATTATACATTTTAATTTTTCCATTTTTTGATGTTTCGATTTCTCGATCTTTCGTCTTTGGCCTTCTCAGTTTTACACTTTTCAGTTTTTTGATTTTTAAAATTTTTGGTAGTTCAGTTTGCAATTTTTTAATTTTTGGATTTTTCAGTTTTTCTAATTTTTAATTTTGAGGCTATTCGAATGTTCAATTTCTCATTTTTCCGATATTTCAGTTTTGCGATTTTTCAATGTTTTGATTCTTCAATTTTTTTATTTATCAATTTTTGGCGTTCCAAAGTTTTCGGTTTTCCAATTTTTCGATTTTTCGATATTTAAAATTTTTGATTTTTCGGTTTTTACTTTTTCAATTTTTCAGTTTGTCGGTTTTTCTATGTTCGACTTTTCGGCTTTTCAGTTATTCCATTTTTCGATTTTTCAATTTTCCGATATTTGAGTTTTATGATTTTTCAATTTTTTTGTTCTTCATTTTATCGAATTTTAAATTTTTCAATTTTTGGCGTTTCTAAGTTTTCGAGTTCTCTGCTTCTCGATTAACCAAATTTTCGGTTTCTAGACTTTTCGATCCATCAATTTTTTCGATGTTCCATTTTTCGAATTTTCGATTTCTCAATTTTTTCAATGTTTCAGTTATGGAATTTTTCAGTTTTTCTACTAGGTTTCTCAAATTTCCGATATTTTAGCTTTTTCAATTCTTAAATTCTAGATTTTTTGATTTCCGGACTTTTATGTTTTTCGATTTTTTTTATGTCAATTTTTTCGAATTATACATTTTAATTTTTCCATTTTTTGATGTTTCGATTTCTCGATCTTTCGTTTTTGGCCTTATCAGTTTTACACTTTTCAGTTTTTTGATTTTTCAAATTTTTGATAGTTCGGTTTGCAATTTTTCAGTTTTGCAGTTTTTGGATTTTTCAATGTTTTGATTCTTCAATTTTTCGATTTATCAATTTTTGGCGTTCCAAAGTTTTCTATTTTCCCATTTTTCGATTTTTCGATATTTAAAATTTTTTATTTTTCGGTTTTTACTTTTTCAATTTTTAATTTTTTCGATTTTTTGGCTTTTCGATTGTTCAATTTCTCCATTTTCAATTTCAGATTTCGATTTTCCCAATTTTCGAGTTTCGACTTTTCCATGTTTGATTTCTCTCTACTCGACTCTCTTTCAGTTTTTCAATTCTTCAATTTTCGATGTTCCAATTTTTTAATTTTTCGATTTTTCGGCTCTTCCATTTATTAATTTTTCAGTCTTGAAATTTTTCAATTTTCTGATTTATCAGTTTTTTGATATTTCACATTTGGGATTTTGCATAATTACGATTTTTCAATTTTAGGTGTTTCGATTTAAAATTTTTCAATATTTTAATTTTTTCATTTTTTATATTTTGAATTTTTCGATTTCTAAATTTTTCTGTTCTTCGATTTTTCTCTTAGTCAATTTTTCAAATTTTTAATTTTAGAACTTTCTTTTTTTTTGATGTGTCGATGTATACATTTTTCGACTTCTGGGTTTCTGGTTTTTCCATGTTTGCATTTTAAAATTTTTTTAAGTTTCAGTTTTTCGGCTTATAGTTTTTGAATTTTTCAATTTTCCGATTTTTCAATTTTTCAATTTTTCAATTTTCCAATATTTCAGTTTTGTGATTTTTCATTTTCGTGCTTCTTTAATTTTTCGATTTTTAAAATGTTTGTTTTTCAATTTTTCAAAGTTTGGCCTTCCTAAGGTTTATATTTTTTTATAGTATCTCGATGTTCCCATTTTTCAGTTTTTCGATTTCTCAGGTTTGATTTTCCAATTTTTCTTGTTTTTAAATTTGCAATTTTTCGATTTCTCAACTTTTGAATGTTTTAGTTTTGGGCATTTTCAAGTTTTTCATATTTCAGTTTTCAGATTTTTTAATTTTTCGATTTTACAATTTTTCGGTTACTCAATTTTTCAATTTCTCGTTTTTCAGTTTTTTGATTTCTCAATTTTCCCATATTTCAGTTTTGGGATTTTTCTATTATTTTTATTCTTCAATTTTTGTGATTTTAAATTTTTGGTGACCCTAGGTTGTCGATTTTTCGATTAACTGATTTTTAGACTTTTAAATTCATCGATTTTTTCATTTTTCCATTTCTCGATTTCTCGATTTTTCAGTTTTTCAATTTTTCAATTTTTCGATGTTCCAATTTTTCAATTTCTGAAAAACTTGATTTTTTAATTTTTCGAGTTTTAAATTTTCCATTTTTCGACTTTTCGATCTATCAATTTTTCAATGTTTTAATTTTGTAATTTTTCATTTATTCGATTTTCAATTTTTCAATTTCTCTTTTCGGCTTTTCAGTTCTTTAATTTTTCTGTTTCAATTTTTCGAATACTGAATTTGCGAATTTTTCAATTTTTCGATTTCTCATTTTTTTTTATTTTTCAGTATTTCAACTTCCCGAATTTACAATTTGTTATTTATGCTTCGATTTTCCGATTTTTAAATATTTAGATATTTCAATCTTTAAAATGTTTGGACTTTCCGATTTTCGATTTCTCAGTTTTTCAACATTTCAATTTTGGGAATTTTTTAACTTTTGATTCCTCAGTTTTTTGATATTTGAGTTTTTTGATTCTTTAATTTTTCATTTTCCCAATTTTTAGATATTTCAATTGTGCGATTTTTTATTTTTGCGATTCCTCAGTTTTCCGATTTTTAAAATTTTCATTTTTTCAATTTATCAAACTGGCGTTTCTCAGTTTTATATTTTTCTATTTTTCGATTAATTGATTGTTCGACTTTTCGATTCATCGATTTTTTTATTTTCCCATTTCTCAACTTTTTGATGTTCGATTTCTCTACTTCTCGATTTCTCGATTTCCCAGTTTTTCAAATTTTCCGTTCTCCGACTTTTCGATTTTTCAATTTTTAAATATTTCGATTTTCTGAATTTTAGCCTGTTCGATTTTATATTTTTCGACTTTTTAAAATTTAGATATTTCGATTTCTAGATTTTTTAGTTCTTTGGTTTTTTATTTGTAAATTTTTCTAATTTTTAAATTTTTCAATTCTTTGATGTGTTATTCTTTTGATTTTT